CTGATAAAGAAACCAAACTGAGCATGTCCACTGTAAAAACACACCTGATGTCCACCATATGTGGAACAGAGACAAAAAAAACCTTCTACTGGTCCCTACTAAGCCAGATATAAACTGTACAATACTGAACTGTCCCAGATGAAACATATCCTGGATTATGTCCCTAACTCTTTGGTTACGTTCAAACTCAGCAGTTGTATCAGGCAGTCTTGGGACTAAAGATAGGCTAGGGATTTGGGATTATCGTCTAACAATGTAACTGCTGCTACAGCCTGCGAATACTGACCAATCATAAGCAATGTAACATGAACTAATACACTGATCAATGCAGCTGTTATTGTGCCTGTACTGAGAGGGACAGAGCATGGAAACAAATGAGGAACTGGAGCCTGCATATATCAAATCAAGTTATTAGACTTTGTGTAAGTTGCAATAAACCTAAAAGGCTGCTGAAGTCTCATGGTGTGTAACTGCATTTATACTGACAAGATGTTCTTTTGAATTGTGTATTTTATTCATAACAAACAAAGTAGACTTCTTAACTATAACATCTCTCTGTATAATCCATTATCAATCCCAATGAAAATGTTTTCCTGTAACATGTCTGTGAAGGTTCTCAGTCATCCAGGTCATCATAGTCTAAGGAGCTTGGAAAGAAACGCGTCTGGACTTCTTTAAGTTGCTTGAAGACGTCTCACCTCTCATCCGAGAAGCTTCTTCAGTTCTAAGATCAAATGGTGGAGAGTCCCAGATTTAAGCTCTGTGGGAGCTTAAATCTGAGAGGGAGAATGGACCCCCTAATGATCCTCTACCTAATCACATGAGCCAAGGTGTGAAAATGGGTGTAGGTCACAATCAGCCAAGGTTTTGGGTGAGCTCATTGGGAAACCTAGCCCCACCCTATCATGTGATTTCCTGAGGTCAGATGGCCCAGGATGTAAGTAGGTGTTAAGGCGTCTGGGAAGGATCTCAAAACTGGATTATAGATGGCAGACAGTTGGTGTCGTAAACCACCGCCTCTGTTTTCCTGTAACATGATTCTTAATGAACAATGTGTCTGTGTTATAGGGTGATTTTCTTTTTACCTTCAGCTCCTTGGTTAAGTGGTACGTGACTATGGCGGTGAATGAGGAGAACAGGGGAGCCAGGAAGACGCAGACATTACGGATGTCAATTGTGATGTGGAAAAAATGTAGGACATGGTACAGGACAGCAGACGTGATCATCAGTCCTGGAGAAAGAAAACAGAAGCGCACCATCATAATCTGACGTGAGCCTTCAAAAACTCACGTAACGCACAAACTGCTCCACAGGACAGGAGAATCTTACAACAATTTATGGTCTTACCCGGATAAATGGTGCCACCAATGATCCTCCCCAGAGGATACCAAGCCCTGTCATCAAACCAGTTGTGAAACTTATAAAAACCTTCTTCTGCCAAGAAGCGGGTGGTACGGTAGTTGAAGTACCTGGTTGTGACATTAAGGTGAAGGTGAGACAGGACTCTTCAGGAGGAAAAACTATTAATGTAATGAATGATGATGCAGACAGTACTTACGGGTCAAACTCATGGATGACACTTTCAAACCTCAACACGGAGAAGAGCCTGGTGGAGAATGCTGAGGAGGGGAAAGAAAGATTACATGGATCATTGTGGTGTGTGTGTTGTATAGTGTTGTCCATGCTATCATATACAGCGAGCAGAGGACTCACAGAGGACAGCGGCCATAGACAGGATCAGTAGCTTCAGCAGCGTGTCCTGTTTCTCATAGGACAAACGCAGGAAGCCCAGCTTGGTCATCTTGGCGAGGTTAGGGAAAGCTACCCGTACTACCTAATGGGAGAAAGACAATGGTTCTAAGCACAATAGAAAAGGCACTACAAATGCACTTTTAGACATATGTTTATGCATTTATTAAAAATCCCGCGGAATATGTTTCCAAATCAGGTTCTAAGAAACAGAATCAGCAATCCAGATGTCAGGAGTTAACTTCCACGTCCAGCCCAACCACATAAGGCCACGCACTAACGTGTGGCGTCACAAAGCAGGAAGTAGACACTCTGGAAACCCTTTGCATGGAAATGTGCCCGTCTATTTCACATGTGCATTAAAAAGGTTTTACGAAAAGTGTAAAGTCGAACCACTAAGCTCCAGCGAGCCCTCATGCTTTCAAGACAGCACCACTATCAGAACGAGCCTGAGTGCTGACAGCTAACCCACATCACAGAAAGAGCAAATGAACGGCAGCTAATCCGGTTAAACCAGATATTAACAACTGCACATATAAAGTGCATTCAGGCATAGTTGTAGTTTATGCAGCGTCTTATTGCTAGTCAGCGTCAGGCCGGCTTGCATCCACTTCAAAGTGTGTTAGTTGCTAGGCTAACCTGCTAGCTTCTTTTTAATAAAAACCACAGTCACGCGCTAACTCCCTGGCTTATTTATTAAAAAGAAGTATCTGCGTCTCCTTCACATATAGCAACAGAAAATAAAAACTGGTAGTCCTGGAAAAGCTAACGCTTTTTAATATGTAATCTTCAGACACTTACCCGCTCCGCTCCTGCTACTCACTTTTCACACACAACCCTCACCAAGAGCTAATCCCGCCCCGACTAGAACATATTGCGTGCTTATTGGTTATGTGTCATTCAACGTTTTACTTTCTCGTATCTTATTGGTTCTTTGGATGTCAATCAGATTTTGTTCCTTACCCCGCCGCTGTAGTGTAGTGACGTGTCCTTACCGAGAAAAGAACACAGCCCCCTGTTGGTTGAAAATAATTTCACCTCATTTCGTTGGTGTAGATTCAGTCTCATTATTTTTCACATTGTTTCCTCTTACAAATCAACGTGTTACTTTTGTGTAGTTTTTCTTTCTCTCTCTATTAAAATAAAACTACCCAAAAAAATTGGAAACTTAATTTCTCTGTACATGAGCAATCTTCCAAATTTAACAGGGGATCAAATAATTAATCCTCCCACTGTATCTTTTGGTGATCAGTTAATCAAACGTCTTTTTAGCTCAATCAAGTACAAAAGTCCATCTGCATCTGTGTTAAGCCAGTTTTCAAAACATCTCTGATACCTTTCTGTTAGATGCCTGAAACATTTTTTTTTTATCAACCATGAACAATTTGGAGTACAACCCAAGGACTCAATCTGATTTTCAGTGATATAAATCATTTATCTATCCTTATCTTTGCAATGCTGAGTTTGAAATGTCGTAGAGCATAGGTGTCAAACTCTGGCCCGTGGGCCAAATTTGGCCCGCAGCCTAATTATATGTGGCCCGCGAAGCCATACCAAATTACTATTAAAGCTAGCCTACTGGTATTATACAGCTAATATATATATTGTTTAGTATTAAGCTTTGCTTGTTCCATATTCAGTTTTTCAGCAAAACTTGTTTGAGTCCATAAGAAAAGATTCATTCTCATATCTAGAGGAAGATTTTTTTTCCAATAAATATTAATGTTAGCCCGCGACTTTGTTCCAGTTTTGAATTTTGGCCCACTGTGTATTTGAGTTTGACACCCCTGTCATAGAGAAACAAAAAACACAGAAACACAAGAGCTCAAATATTGAATACTGACCAATTTTATTCAAATTAGAAGTATTACTTTTACAAAACCTCACTCACAAATATCAGTCTGCACAAACACTATGCTCTTCTTACAATAATTGCACACCGTTTAAAATCATGGCCCCGCTCCACATCCACGAGCTCTGATGAGACAAAGGTTGGGGTGGGGTCACTGTGTGGCGCTGGGCTTCTGACTGAACATTCAGGAGGTATTAACATTATGTACAGCACAAATAACCAAACAGCCAATGATATTTGGGGATCAGTTACATTTGCATCAAGCTCTCTTTAAGGGGCACTAGAGCAAGCGAGTCGAGGCTGATCACCCGTCTGCTGTAAAGCTACGAGCTACATGACTCCTTTGTGACAGAGCTTAGCGTTGACGTGGTCAAAGCAAAGTTAAAGATGTAGCGGTTTGGCAGTGTCGTCTCATCTATCAACACACTAAAAGCTCTAATGAAGCTTGCCCTTTGCCGGTGTAGCCGTGTGTATTGTGACGTTAGACAGCAGAATCCAGACTTTTT